GGGCCGGGTGCCTCCAGGGCCTGGGCCCCCCACCCCGGGCGGGCTGCCTGCGGCCCCGGCACGGAGCTCACCCGCCCGCCCCGAGAGCGCCCGCCGGCAGCCCATGCTGCACCGCTCCAAGTCGGACCTGAGCGACCGGCTCTCGCGGGCCACCGCCGACCTGGAGCGCTTCTTCAACTACTGCGGCCTCGACCCCGAGGAGGTGCAGGACATGGGCGCTGAGCGCTTCGCCCGTGCCAGCTCCGACATCGTGTCCCTCAAGTTTCACAGTGTGAGCACGGCCAGCTCAGAGGGTGGCCGCTCGCCGCCCAGTGCCGCCACGCCGGAGGGGCGGCCAGCCGAGCGCGTCCCCTACGGCATCTCCATCATCGAGCGCAACGCCCGCGTCATCAAGTGGCTGTACGGACTGCGCCAGGCCAGGGAGCCCCAGCAGGTCTCCGACGTGTAGCAGTGCCGCGGTGGCGGCGGGTGCCGGGGACAGGTTGCTCGCGAACAGGCAATGCCGGACGGGGAGGGAGCTCAGGCTGTGCCCCGGCAGGAGCAGGGACCTCCCGGTGGTGACAGGACCCTCGAACCCAGCCCTGCCTTTGCTCCCCTGCCCCCTGTGCCACAGCAGCACTGGCAGAGCCCCAGTGTGGTGGCATCCTCCTGCTGGCTCTGGCTCTGTCAGACCCCCGCGCCGGCACTGGAGAGCCAGGTCCCCGCCAGCCCGCAGGAGGGCAGAGGACACGTGTGTCCCTGGGTGCGTGGCTGGGCCCCAGTACCCTCGGAGCCCATGTGTGGTCTCCTGCCTGCACTGCCTGAAGCTCCTGCCTGCCCTGCTCCTCGCCAGCACCCATGGGTGGGGGGTAAGGCGCTGGTCCCTCCCTGTACGGAGCAGCTCCCGGGGAAGGAGCTGCCCCCCTGCAGCCTCCACTGAGAGGGCCACGCTGCCTGGGGTGGGGGCCGTATCCTGGCAGCCCCCGTCTTCATGCTGGAGGTTTGGGAGAAACGGGGTGCTTTGCAGGGGGGCAAACCCGACCCCCCCCAAGCAGCCCAGAGCTGCGTGTGTGTGCGGGTGTCGCGAGCGCTTGTGTCCCCTCCTGGGTGCCAGCAGGCGCACAGCTCCGGGCACCCTGGGCCCTCTTATTTATGAAGACGACGGTTATGGTGGCCTCTTCCTCGTTTCTGCTGTTTTTTCTGATGTTTGATATGTGCAAAATTTCGTAAGAATAATAACACAGATATTAAATCTCTGTGCTTTGGAGGCCATGTGCGTTGCCGTCTCTCGAGGCAGTGCAGGTTGGGACAGGGCAGGGACCCTCAGGGTGCCCATGGCTCAGCAGGGGCTGGCGGTGCTGAGCTGCCGGGTGCTGGCGGGAGCGATGGGTGCTGTGCCACGGCGTGCCAGCACGGGGCCCGGCAGGCACAGTGGGGGTGGCGGTTGGGTCCGGCAGGTCCCGGCAGAGCCCCGGCCGGTGGGATTCCCCTCTGTGCTGCAGCCAGCACCGTGCCGACCATCCAGCCCTCCCCTGCCTCCTCGCCCCGCTCCGGCAAAGCGCTGCTGAGCTTGGCTGAGTCCCGGCTCCTCCGGGGCTGCGAGATGGGGGTGGTGATAGCGGAGACCTCCCAGGCAGGCTGGGGAGGCATGAGGATGAAAGTCGGTGCAGGGAGTTTTTTTGCGGGACGCGCTTTGAAGGTGAAGGGCGTCCGTGCGTTATCCCGGGGGAGCCTCGTGCGGCACGGCGGCCGCTGGCACTGTGGGGCGAGATTCCCCTGCTCCTTGCCATGGTGGTGCAGCCCACGCGGGCAGGTGGCTGCTGGGGAAGGTGGCACCAAAGCCACCAGCGCCTGCACCCAGGGAACCCCATCTGGACGCTGACCCCGCCGCTGCCTCCCTCTGGCTCCAGCCGCAGTGATGGGGCCATGGCTGCAAACGGCTCCATACTTGCAGGGAGCCAGCCTGCCTGGTGCGGGTGCTGCTTGGCAAACGCCACGTGCATGCTGGCGGTGATGGGCTGGGGACAAGGTCCAGCCACCCGCCCCAGGGCTGCAGGTTTCATTTTCGAAGGGGCCAGAGCTGCTGCCGCCCTGTCCCACCCCAACCAGCGCTTGTCCCCGGCACAGCCCGGGCTCGGCAGCTGCTGGCCAGGGCAGCACCAGGGTTCCCCTTGACCGGGGCTTCCGTCCGGCACTTGGGGTCCCCAAAAAAGCCCTCGCGGGGATGAAGGGTTTCCCACCCCAGCCTGGCTCCTGCACCATGCACGTCCACCCAGAGCCACTGCCCAGGGTGCAGGATCGGTGCAGCTCCTGCTGGAGGCCAGGCAGGTCCAGCTGCCCAGGGCGCGCGGGCAGGGTGCGGGGACGGCACCTGGCCCGTGAGTCAGGCTGACAAACCGGGCTGGGGAGGAAGCGCACACCCAGGGATCCTTAATGACGGCATGTGGGGCACCGGGTGCCTCCGCGGGGAGCGGGAAACCAGGGGGTGACGGGGACCCCAGGCACCCACTTGGGGCTGGGCTTCACCCTCGGGGAAAGCTCTGCGGGAACTGGATCCCCGCCGGCGGCTGGGACCAGCTGCGCTGCCGGATTCCTCAGCCCGGCGTGTCCAGGGCTTGGTCTAAATTTGCTGTTACTGCCAAGGAGGGGGGGCCCTGCCGGGCCCCTCCAGGCGCCGCTGGCCCTCGGCTTCATTCTGGCGTCCCGTCACCTGCGTGGCCGGGACCTGCCGTGGCTGCGTGGCTGTCCAAAGCCCTGTGTGCTTGTGTGTGCGTGCGCTCTCGTGTGCATGTGTGTCCCAGTGTGCATGCATGCTTGTGTGTACGTGTGTTTATGTGCACACGTGTTTGTGTGCATGCGTGTCCATGTGCATGCGTGTGTGCACACACAGGAGGAGCCGTGTTCCTGAGGCAGGAGTCTGCATCCGACCCCGCACCCGTGGGACTGACTGCATGAAACCCTGGCAGAGCCACGGCAAGGCGACACGTGCCTCCCCGGCAATGTCCCCTTCGCCTGTCCCTGCTGGGGACAGCAGGATGGCCCCAGCACTCCCTATCACTTTCCCTGGCAGCTGCCTCTCGGCTGCTCCGGTTTCGGTGGGGAGCCGCAGCTGAGCCCGTCTGTTATTTCTAGGGAAGAGGGAGGGTGTCTATCGCCCTCGCCCCTCCATGCTGGGGTCTCCCATGGGTGCCCCATGTGCAGGCAGGAGCTGCAGGCAGCCAGGAGAGAGAGAAAACCAGCAGCACCCCAGTCTGGGGAGCCAGGCCCAGCACCCCGGGGCGGGGGCCACCCCCTGCCTGGCACGCAG